TATATGGAAAACAGTATGTGGCATCAGCAGCAGAAAATAATAGTGGATAGAAAAAATAGGTTTTTGCATTTGTCGTGGACACTTCTGAGGAGAGCACCATCAATTTCTTCATCAGTCAAGTATACTAAAAGCAAATACTATCTGTTGGAAATGGATCCTAAGTATGAAAGGAAGAAACTAAACAGTTATTCCTATGTGGAAGAAAACGTCTTTTTAACTTTCTAAAACAAGCCAGAGTTTAAGGCTAGAAAAGGGGGTGCGAGAATAAGAAGTCCAAAGGGAGAATAGCAAGGAACAAAGGTATAAGATGGTATAAATACAAGGAAAGAGGGGCAATGAGGGAGAAAAAGCAACTGTAGCATGGGGGTGGATGAAAGGAAAAGATAAGAGAAACTGAATTACTAGGGAATTGAGGAAGTGTACTAGTGACCATTGATAATATTCACTTTTGCGTTTGAAGTTTACTACAGAATGATTGTATTTAATTACTTTGGAGTGATTAAAGGCATGGAAATGTAATTGCTTTGATAACACTCTGTTCCAGGCCAGATGTTTTCATGCTAACATATCAGCTGTTACTTGATAGGAACTTGCAGTCTTGTTCCTCTGAACGTTAAGTTCAGTTATCATCTGCACGTACAGATTAAAGCAGTTCACACTAGCTCAACTTCCCCACAAAGGTATGATTTCATCATGTACTTATGACCAAAGGCCCATTTTAATGAGGATTTGGGTCTCCTGTGCTGACTGAAGAAAACAGGAAAGCTCATTACGACATTATGACACGATTGTTTCACATACTCTCAGGTTAGAACCTTTGCCTTAAAAAAAGAAAATGTTTCAAAAAAGCTCTGTTTTTTTCCTCACCATGTTATTTATTTACTTATTGGCTCAAAGTACAATTTCTTTATTCCTCTTTTTTGTTCTCTTTTATCTTGAGCAAACAAGAACTAGAGAAATAGCAGTATGGATGTTTACAGGACTGACTCGATGGAATTTTGTTCATTAAAGTACTAGGTTTTACCATGCTTTACAGTACATGTCATGAGAAAACACAGTGTAATTTCTTTTCTTCTAAGACCAAGAAAAGATACTGTATGAAAGTTCTACACGAGACTTGAAGTTCGGGAATGGATAGGTTGAGACTAGAAGTCTCGAAGAAAAAAGTAGGCACTAGGCCTTTATATATCAAGTTCTTAGACTTTCCTTTCTATCTCACAAACAGGAATACAACAGCTCCCATGGATTTACCTGAGTCAACTTTTCAAAAAAAAATCACACGTTGCCAACACGTTTCTTAACTCTTCTAACAAATTTTAGTTGCTGATTCTGAACTCATTTTAAGTGAGGCTTGAGTGAAGTTAAAGACAGGTTGAAATGCTTTATCGATTCAGTTAGCTTTTCCCTTCCTATTAGTTTTGCAGCTGTCACCATAGCGTTTCTAGCTTGTTTAGATCAAAGCAGGCACAGGAGTACCAGTTCCTTAGATACGGCCTGAACAAGGTCATGTGTTTCGAACTGATTAAAGTGGCTGTGTCAGGATGCTAGACACTGGGTGTTCCCAAAACAACAATGCAGTTTGCCTGCAACTTTATTTATTTATTTTGGTCAGTGGAAAAGCTGTTCTTTGTCTGTCAGGAATGAGGCTGAAAGAGCATTGCGACACAGCCAGTACAGCTGATAGAGTTTTTTTTCCTGGTTCTTGAAGGAAAGCAAAAGGAGAAAAAAATACACTAATTTGAATTGTGTCATTACAATGGCCTCTAACATAACCTTTTGCCAACAATACTTGGCTCAAATAGACAAGGCAGCGGCCAGCATTTGGGGATTTTCTTGGTATAGCCTGTTTTAGGGCAGTTTTTTAGCATTTCTCTTAGAATGTGTCAGGTAAACAGAGAATCATTCTTTAGTTCATCTAAGCCTTTGTTTTCCATTAAGGAAAAAGCGTCATGAATTGTGCACGTCAGAAGGTCAGGTCAAAACGTAGTTATCTTTGTATTTCTTTCCACATTTGTTCCATTTTTTTTGCCGTCTTTGAATCTGTTCTGACAGTATCTCTTTTCCTTAGTTCTAAAAAATTACTCTTGTGGCAATCTGAATAACCCAGGACCTCTCTGAGATAACAAGTGCTGGAGAACTTAGTGGCATCCCCTACATTGTCACATTATTCCTGCAGTGTATATCTTTTGGGAAAATGTTAGGCCAGCATTATTTTTTGGGCCTGTTATTACAATTCAATCCTAACATGCTTTTTCATGTGCTGCTCTGCTCTGTGGCATGTGGCATAATTGTATATGTGGCAAAACATTTTTGGACTTCAGTAGAAATTTTTTAGAAAATAATTTAATGCCAAAAGTTGAAGGGTGGAATGGAGAGGAGGGGAGAAGAAGAGTAAGGAAATCATAACTGGTCTTTCTGTAACATTTGGGATTTACTCAGTAAATCCCTTCTGTTCACATACTTGGGCAAGATAGCAGTAACTAAAATTCCAATTATTTATACAGCAGCCTAATCCAGTACTCTGGGATTCAATGCAGGCCATATTCAGCAAAAATAAATACAGATAGTGTAATGATAAATCACATTAGTGCTTGGATGACCGTGAGAAAATAGTCATCTGTTTGTAACAAAGTCCAACTTGTTTGCCCTCTTCTGGGGTATGAAAGTTGAAGGGAATAAGGGCATGATCACCCTCCAGCAGCCTTTATGCAAGCTCACTGCTGCCTGCAAGCTGACAGCTGACATCCAAACATATTTTGCGTACTTTATTATTTTCTCATAAGCTTCTTGTTCTAGTGGGCTGAAAACGTTCATTCTGTTTGCTGTCTCACTGGTATAAATGACTTGGTCCTTTTCTTGATCTATGTCCTCATCTGGGGCCTGAAGCATTGTAGATATTGCACCTGAGTAGAATGGGTATTATAATCTAGATCTACCTCCTAAGATACTGAAAGGCTTGTCTACACTAGAGCACCTCTTCTGAAGCAGTTGTGTTGCACAGCCTCCAGACGCTATAGCAACCATTCCCTCAAACTATTGTATCCTCTGCGTCTGAGAAGCTGTGGTAATCCATAACTATGTCCACAGCAGGGGTTCTGCAAACATCACTGTCTCAGTTGTGCAGTGTTACCTTCCTTCACAGCCATTGCCAAGTCCCTGCTCTTAGAAGTGGCCTGGGGAGCTCTCGCAGCCAGTGCTGCCCTAAGGTGCACATTACTCTCTGCTGTGCTGGTGAAATGGTGGATGTGCATGCTGTAGCCCAAACAGGATTGGCTAGGTCGCTATCACTTGGCTGCTGAGCTGGCCTCGCTCCTTTCACTTTCCTCCTTCACCTGCCAAACGAAAAGGTATTGTTCTCTTCCCTTTTTCCCAAATAGGTCCCCCCACCTTTGTGTTACTGGGCTCGATAGAATTTCTCAAATTTTCTGGTGCTTTGTTCCCTCCTTCTCTTATTTGTTTTGTTTTGGATCACTGCCCTTCCTACAACCGCCTGCATACCCATCTCCTTGGAAACAGCAGAAGTTGTTTATGGGAAGGCAATAAGGAAACTAATTGATTTGTAGCAGCTGCAGACTTGCAAGAAAGCATGGTTCCTTCCAGGGAAGGATGGCAACTCATGAAGAAGCAAGCTTTCAGTTGTGCTGATTGCTGAAGGGTCAGACGGTAAAGACAAAAGTGGTCTTCTTATGCTCTTCCAGATTGCGTTCCACTGTTAGCAGCAACAGCAGGCAGTTTGTTGTGTGTGTGTACATGCACATTTTTATGGACCATTTTTGTTACTCTTTTTCATCACCAACGTGTAGGAATTGAGAAGCAATGGAAGGGTAAGTGTTGCTTATTTTGTACTCTGTGCCATTATAGGTACTTTGTGAAAAATCATGCTGGTACCCCACACCATGCCAAGCCAGTTTTACCTGTGGCCACCAGGTGGGACCTCTTGCCTATGAGGGCAGCATACCCCCATGAGTCAGCCACCAAGCCCCAAGAGCTAGCTGCATGGTCTCGCTGCGGGCAGCCAGCACAAGACAGTTGTGAGCCACCCAGGGAACTTTCTGGAAAAGGCCAGTGGTACATGGGTCACTGGTAGGGTGGATAAGGGGGGCTGTGCTGGTGCTGGATGGACCACCCTGAAATGCAGGATCTGCCTCAGGGGTGCTAACATGCAAAAGCAGCAGAGTCTGGGAGGCATGAAGTCAAGCAAGCCCTGGCAAAGAGATGCTGATATTAATGCATCTGTGATGACAGCCTGGGGGAGAAGGAAAGTGTTTCCATGTACCTCTTGCACGTCTTGAAGAGGTGGTGTGGATGGATGTGATTTTTTTTTTTAATTTTGTATGTATTCTGAAGCAGTACTGAAAGAGCTGTTAGTGGAAAACTGTTTCTTCACTGAAAACTTTCTTCCCTATCCAGTAGGAATGAATTTGCCTATCTTATGTTGTCATATCTTATGGTCATATCTGTCATATGGTTTTTGTTAGGATTTCTTCTGTTACTAGATACCTTCTTTTTGTCACTTTTGGGAAATCAGCACCTATGAATATCTGTGCATGAGGAGCAAGCTCTCTCTTTGGAGCTCTCACAAAGAAGCACGTCCTGGGGGGGCTGATAGCACCACTGCTGCTCTGTCAGAAGAATTTGCAATGTTTTAAACTTGAGCGGTACCACAGTTGTATCATTGAACCTTCACATAAGCTGCTTTTCCAGCAACTGAAGCTGTATACAACCTTCATTTTTAAAAAATTTTAGATTTATCAAATGAGGTGCTTGGTTTGGTGCTTAATTTGGTAGGTAGCCATGATGTGCTTAAAAGGTGCTGTAACTTCCTTCTCTTGGCATTGTGTTTACACTTCCAACTACTTGCAAGACCCGGTAAGAGCTTTCAGAAGTGAATGACTCCTTCTACTTGAAATGTGTGAATTGGTAGGACCTTTAATAAAGGGCAATGAAGTTTGTACTTCAGTGAAAGCATTTGTGCAACATTGGAATTGGTCTCTGCCGTTCCTAAGTAGAATTAGCAGATGAGTAGAAGAGCAAAGAGTACAAAAGAAAAACTAATTTTTAAAGTACCAGTAAGTCCAAACATATTAAAGATATCTTTGAAACTAGTTTCTTTTCCATCATTTCTATGACCTATAGCCTTTCTTTGTATGACCTATAGCCCATGCTTGGTTGTCATAGCATTCCCAATGTAAACAACAAAATGAGGCTTGAATGACTTGTCATAGAATATAGATGGACTGATCTCAAAGGGTCTGCTTTCCTAGAGCTTATACTATACCAAGGCACTTTGTGCAAGTTTCCTTGGTCATGTCTTGAGTATCAAGGAAAGCCACTGTTCGACTAAGCATGAAGAGGCTTCAAATGTGCTTCTGATAAAATAAAGAATGTGAAAGCGTAGAGAGGAAAGGGAATTAATACATAAGTTTAATAATGGTGAGAATGCTCATAGTAATCATGAGAAGGTTACATGTTAACTATCCTTTTGTTATTTCAACACTATGTCAAAAGCCATGTCTTTATTACATAATAAAGCCGTATGTTAAACAAAAACAACGAACTCTGACACTATTACAATGTACCGGAACAATAAGGAGCCTGTACAAACAGACTGTAAAACTTGCAATGCTTGCTCTGCAGAGACCACTGAGAGGCATATGCTAACTTCTGTAAAATAGATGCTACAAAAATGTTTTAATCTTTGGCTTTTAGAAGGTCACTATTAAGTTTAGAAAACACAGAGGAAAAATCTTAGAAAATTTTGGCTGTTTGAGGACAGTTGTGTTTAGTGTTACTGAAGACATTGTTTTGGAATTGCATTAACATACACGATACCTCTGGCTATATGTGGCTTTTTAAATTATTATTTTATGCAAGTGATCTGGCTTAATATAAATACAGCCAGGGACTGCTCAGTGAGGTGCCTTGAAAACTGTTACATAGTTCATTAAAAAGCTAAAGTCACTATAAAGCTCTCTTTTTGCAGGCTATGGATTCTGAATCAAAGGACAGCTTAATAGGAAGCTTTCTTCAGCCTCCAGCTAAAATGATTCCTGCACCCTTTGTTTGTGGAGAACCAAAGAAGTTGGCAGTTGCTGGTGACGGTGGGCCTTCTATCTGCTATAACCAAGGTAAGCCAGAAAGTGGTCTTTTAAATTGTTTCTTGTGAAATCTCGTGAGCAAAGTCTCCATTTTGTTTTACCCAGTTCAATGACTTGCTGCAATTATCAGTCAGTAAGACAGGATGTATATGTGTCCAGAGGGAGTAGTCTCCCTGAAGTCGTACATCTGGAATGGAAACTGCTGCAAGCCTTCTGACATCCTTATAAACTTTGGCTTAGAAAATTGTTTAACTTAAAGATCGTCAGACTTCCTCTAAAAGCAAAGGAGAAGACTTCAAACTCAACAGAAGCTGTTCATGCTTTAAATCCGGCAAAAAGAAAAAAAAAAAAAAAAAAAAAAAAGAAAAAAAAAAGACATGACAGTACACTGACTTGAAACTGGCTTTGTGCTGTGTTATTCAACTCTTTCTAGCTTTAAATCACTTCTAAGCTTTTTTGTGTCATGTGATGTATTGGGAGAACTTGCGAATAGAACAGTAAGATAACTTATTCAGGTAAGTTATCAGCATATTTGTCTATGTGAAACATGAATCCATGATGATTATCTTGTGTCTTAATCAGTGATTACTCTCTGGAGCTCACGGGACAAATGCTTGGGTTTAAGTTGTCCAGATTACTAAGCAAATCACAAGTTTACCATACTTGGATTTTATTTAATATAAAACCTTGCAATACTGTATAGACATAATCAGTGTGTATGTCATCATTGTTCTTTATTTTGTGGCTTCTCCATATGAAGAATAGTTTATTACAGAATTTACATAATGTCATATAGAGTTTGGACTATTTGGATTAAGACGTTCAGCTCAATATTGTGCAGCTAAATGTTTAAATGAGGAAATGTTTGGTATCCTAACAGAAAGATGTAAGAAGTGGCCCCTTCTGCTCTCTGGGACCTGTTATTTATTTACTTATCTTAATTAGGCTAAGTAAAGCTGCTTGGAGTTTTTATGGAGCTATTTTTATGGAGCTATCCAATATTTGCTAGATATTCCTCTATCAAGAGAGTTGGTATAATAAAAATATCAAGGCTTATGAAATGTCCAACAAGAAGCTGAACTTGTTTGGGAATGTGTCTTAAACTTATAGCTTCTTGGAGAGCTAGTAAGCAGCTCTAAGTTATTTTCAGAATTTTAACTCTGGAATTGATTTGAGGCTAAAAGCAAAATCTCTGATTATTATTATTATTTTCTTTTTAATGTTAAATGCAAGAAATGAGACAGACAAATCATTCACTTTTGAAACAAGAATGTTTTTAAAAATGCATCTTCTGTTAAAATGTCCTGTTGTATCTGATTTTTCCCCCCTGCCTGGAATCTTTTTTTTTTTTCTTTTTTTAATCTGTCCACACCAGATGCATTGCTCCAAAAACTTGGATACCTAACTTAAATACCTGTGTTCCCTGCTCCTTTGTAGACAGATACTAACAGGTCTGAGTACCACGTTTTGCTGTACTTGATTTGGCGTGATTTCTTCATGCTTGCCAACGTTTTGACTGAAAATAGCTTAATAGCTTTGCTATTCTGTTCTTTATTCTCCACCTATGCAGTAAACACATTTACTTTCTCCTACGTACATTCTGAGTGTGTAATTGTATGGTTGGAGAATGTCATTGCTTTTAGATCTGATCCTAGAAGGAAAAGCTAGGTAGTAGTTTTCCATTTGAAGCGTTTTATAAAAATAGTATGAGGAATTGTGTTACGAGAGCTGAGTGTAACTGATGCTTTATTTTCTAACTGTGGTGGCAGCCCTGAGAACTCTACAAGAAAAGATCCACTATCTAGAGCTGAAGAGGTCACATGCTGAGGAGAATCTGTGCAGCCTTTCTGTAGCAGCTGCTCAGTATAAGAAGGCCTTAGACCTTGAGTCCTTCAAAAATGACACAGCACATCACAAGCTGATGCAACAGAGGAAAGGTATTTCTCTGAATGATAAGGTGTAGCCACACCAACTCAAAGACTGCATAATCCAGGGAGTGTTTGTTTTGACAAACAGCTAATTAATTTAATGCAACCTCCTTTTTTTTTTTTTTTTCTTCAGAAGTGTGGAAGGCAGAAGTCTGATAATTGTGGATAAAGTTTAGATGTTTTTTTTTTTTTACGCATCTTAACCAGATACTGTATAACTCATAAGACTGTTTTAAAGGTAAACAGATTTCAGGTGGTGTGTTTAACTGCTACAATAAGTTAGCATCTGCTCACTTGTATAACACTGCTAACTTGAGAAAAGTAAGTAGAAGGGAATAAACTAGATTCTGCTGATATAAATCAACGTAACAGCAGAGCTCACACCTTTGGAATTCATATTAGAGTCTGTCTCTGGAAAAGCATCTTGATTCTCTTGTCATATACAAAATACATTTAACCACATGACTTGTTCAGACTAACAAAACTATTCTTGTCTCTTTTGAAGATAGAGAATTCCTCAGAGAGATGACAAACTAGTTAAATATATAACTCCCACTGCTGTACTGAGCATCTTTGCTTCTCTTTGTAGATGTAAGTGTGCAGTTAAATGCAGCACAATCCCGCTGCTCCCTGCTGGAGAAACAGCTGGATTACATGAGGAAAATGGTTGAGAGTGCAGTACTGGAAAACAAAATGATTTTAGAACAACAGGTGAAGCTCTTTAACATACTAACAAAGTAGTAAAGTAGTTAAAAATATAAAAATGTATTCCTCATTTTTCCTCAGCTCTGTGTAGTATGACAGATAGCAAACGGAAGCAATTTTCTATCCAGCTGGTTGTTGACAACCATTCAATGCATTGTAAGAAAAGACTCCCTAGATGTCACTCTAAATGAGTAAAACCATGCTAATACTTGCACATTTGATAGACAAAAAGACTGCTGGAAATGTAAGTCTTCTTTGTCTGCCTGGTATTTTTCATCACTTTGCAATTTTAAAAATACAAAATTTAAATTATTTAAACACCTTTACTGTAGTGTACGGGGGTTTCTTTGTTTTGTTTTTTTGGGTTTTTTTTTTTTGTATGGTTTTTTTTTCAGTCTGAAATAATTTTAGTTAGTTGCCAGCTTTACTCTGGCTTATGTTTTCTGACCTATCCTCAGAAAGAGAAAAATCAGAACCAGATGGAACTGCATGCAAAACTTGAGAAACTTGAAGTGCTAGAAAAAGAGTGTCTTAAACTTACTGCTACTCAGAGAATTGTAGAGGTAAGTAAACATGGAATTAGTCTGAAAGTCATTCATTTGATATGAGTTATGTGGTATACTGTTAATAGTGCAAACTTTTGGAAAAGTTTTCTCTGCTAAAGCTGAGATCATCAAATACACCTGCGTGAATGCTTGGCTTCCTTGGCTTCTTTTTCATAAATTGTTTTGGTTTTTTCTTTTTCCATTCTGTGCCTTAAAAATTCCATCAGTTCCTATTTTATCCCAGATTACCATTACAAACGACTATAGGTTTCTGAATTCAGTGTGACAAACTGAAGTGTGACTAAGCTTTCTTGCTTTCAAATTCAGGACAAAATCAAACATTTAGAAGAAAAGCTTTGTAAAGAAGAGCGTCAGTACAAGCTAATACAAGACAAAGCTGCTCAGGTAGACTGAAACAGTTTTATTTGATCTCATTTTTTGTTACTGAAGGAAGCTATTCTCTCTGTCCAAGATACCTTTTTAATAACATTTAAATTCTATATATTTAAATCCTAGAGTACTGACTCCTGGAAAATTCCTGGAGTACTAACTAGACTAGTCATAAATTACATGAGGGAAAATTTAATGTGTTGTGTTTCTTGATCAGGAAAGATTCTGCTTGGTTTTGTGTTAATGAGAATTCATCAGCCTTAAGTCTGTAATCGGGGATCTAGATAGAGTATTAATTTCTAGAGAAACTGCAACTGAATCAGATAATCTCATTTTAAGGTAACTAAAAATAGTCATGTAAGTACCCTCATACCTCAAGTAAGGTGGTCGTTCTCTTTGTATTCCTTTTTGTTAAGATTTGCTGAAATTTAATGTAATGAATGTAATGTTGGAAGGCTCTTTAATGGTGATACATTGCTTATTAATAGAGAGTTTGTATAATTAGTTGTTCTGTGAAGTCACAGTCAGTTTGTTGGGCCATCACCCATTTCAGAGAGGAATATTTCTCAAAGTGAGCAAAATCAAAGAAACAAAGGAGCAAATTAGATTCAAGTATTCTAAATCTTCGTCGAGAGGTAGCAACCATTTTGAAAGAGTTGTTTGTGGTGACATTCCCCAGAGTGGGGGGTGCAGAGCTGATGAAGAATCTTGGAACAGTGCATCCATAAGTGAAGCTGAAAGCTTAAATTAATAAATAATTGGAGGTAATTTTATATCTCTTTTAAGGTCACTTTGCTTTCATCAGTCCAGGAACCTTGCAGTAGGTGGCCCAGATATTTGATTACCTCCACAATACAGCAGAATGGCACAGTTGAAAACCTGCAATACTGGGGGGGTTTCTTTCTTAAACTGCTGCTTCTGCTGAAGAGCAGAAAGCCAGCTATGAAGACTTTATGTTCTGAGTAACATTAAGAATAACTCCCAGAACAAATAATCTGACCTTAGCAGTAGTATAAACATTTGCTCAAGAAGGGAGGTTAGCACAATGAATTGGGTCTTTACTATTTGTCCCACCTTGATTCACTGTAGATCGGTTTAGGTCTGTTGGATCTGAGTTTGGAAACACAGGGTGTGGCACAGCTGATTCAGCTTCCTTTTGATGACAGAAAAATTAGAGTAATCTCAGTGCAGTGATGAACTTCCAGCATTGTTTAGCCGGAAGTGCTGCGCATGCCAAAACAAATTTATTGTCCTTTTGGTTTGGGAATGGCTATTATCCTGTTTATCATGGGCCTTTATATCAACTTTGAACTTCAGAGTAACGTGTGGATTGTCCAGTAGGCTTGACGTCCATGATACACAGATGGATTCAGCTCTTTTTGTCTCCAGGCTGTAAGATCCCAGTGTTCACATTCTTTGGATTTTATGATCAGACCTTTAGCAAGCAGCAGGATTGTTTTATTTCAGTTACTGGGCGTTATAGTGGAAAAGCACACTTACTGCAGCTGGATGTGAAAATGGAAACTTGTTAGACAGTTATGTCTGATGCCATACCATCCCAGTAACCTGTTCAGTTTTTAAGCATAGGTTATGCTTTCCAAGCAGAATAGTTAATAGTGCCCTTAAATGGCTCTCATTCATGTGTGAAAGAATTAATTAGACTCTGTTATTTCAGACTTCTAATGTTGTATTAAATAGTTGCTTTCTTTTTGTTTATGCACACAGCTTCAGACAGAATTTGAGATAAACCGAATTTTGATGCCTTTGGATTCATCTGAAAGTGAACTTAAAAAGAGAAGCAAGAAAAAAAAAAGCCCTAAGAAGGTAACATGAAGTTTTTCATTATCACAGTTTCGCTGATAGCATCTGACTCACACAGAGATTGGAATTTGTGAAAAATGGTAATGTAAGAGCCACTTGATTTGTCTGCTGCACTTTGTTCAGTTTCCACAGTGAATAACAGTGCCCAATACCTCCATTTTTTCTTTTTAATTTTTTTTGCTTTTGGTAACTAAAACTGGGACAGAGCTGGCAGCACCTCATTGGAAAATGTTCCTGTACTACCATGACAACAACCTTTGTTACAGTTTTCCTCCCCTATGTCCTGCCTTATCTGCTTTTCAGTTTATCTGGCAAAATTAGCTTCCAAAGTAATTTTAAAGTAGGCCATCCTAAGATGGCACGTTTTAGAGGGATTGTTGAAATCAAGAGAATTTTGCAACAAATGTTACAGGTCAGCCAAAATTTTGCAACTCTAGTTTTGCTTAAGTAAGCAAAACTCAATTTTTTAAAATGTCTGTCTAATTGCCAACATATCTACTAAGTGAATCTGGAAGATAATTTATCTCAGCTGTTATTGTTTGAAAATCCTATTCCTTCTATGTACAGTAGGGAAATGTTTTTAAAAAAACATGAGGGAAGCTGAGCTGATGCATTTCACAGCTTCTTTATTTGAATTTTTGTTATTCTACAAAACAAAGAAAGATCGCACTGTTGGTTCAGCACACTGAAATTTCTTCTTTCTTTTTCTGTTTTATGGCAGAAAAATCCTGTGATGAAGGAAATTCATCTCCCACAATTTCATGTACAGGCAGGTGTGCTACCTTTTGTGGTTGGGAAGGTGAGTGAAACCAAAAATTCTCGCTAAATTGGCATCTGCCATTTCAGTTTCTTTGCTGTAATTGTTAGTCATGTTTGTAGACAACTTACTTGTTCTTCTTTAAGTCTGTCAGCTCCAGCCATTCTCTTAGTGCAAATGTGCAAAATGTGTTGCATATTATGAAGCATCGCAATCCACGTATCTCATCACAAAGACAAATCCAAAATAGATCTGGAATTTCAGGACAAACAACTCTTTCAAAATCTGTATCCTCATCATCTGCTGTCACCAGAAGACTTTCTGACTTTCTGTTGGGAATACAAGATGAGCTGAGCCAAATGAGCTTGTGAGTAGTCATCCTCTGTATTACGAGTAAAAACGACTTCAGCAATAGCCCTGTGAAGCTGTGGGTGTACTATACTCAAACCTACCAAATGTAGGACTACATGTGAGAATTTCGTGAGCAAGCCTAGCTGGTAGGATTTTTCTCATTCAAAAACTTCTTTTTGTCCTGATGTTTAACTGATCTTGTAAGTGAGCAAAATACTCTTTAGTTGAGTTTGTTTTCCTGCGCTTATCTGCTACTGAAGTAAGAAACACAGCAAATAAAAGAATCTTCCAGGCCTGGGATTTTTAGAAATTTGAAATATACTACGAGATCTATAAAATATACCAAGAATGTTCTCATGTACAATACTTTAAGAAGGTTGAAACATACTTTCCTGCCAGAAAATGAGCGGAGTGTGGGAAAAGCCAATGCTCTAAATGGGACTGTATGTATCTTTCTTGCCATACAAATAAATGTGAAAGAGAAGTTGTGTTTTTAGGCATCTTTATTTTAACACAAGTTTGTAGAATTGTGAGCTAAAGCTATGCAGCTGGTCATATAGATGTCAACATGATGAGCTGAGGTTTGAACAGGGGAGGACGTGTTGATTAAACCAGTTTGGATGTTGACACTGGTTTGAAACATTTGATGTGGCAACATTTAAACTGGCAACCAATCTCTTCTTCAAAAAATAATGGTTGGTTTAATCATAGCAGTTCAAGGACAGGAATATTTTTCTTTGCAGCAACAACCAGTTGTCCCTGTTAAAGTGTCAAGAACCAACAGTTAGTCAGAAGTTAGAAAAAAAGCTTTGAGCTGTGGAAAAAGATTACCTAACAGAGCCTATGCTTTCAGTTTGTTCAAATGTCCATGTATCAAGTGAGTCTAAAGCATTCATTTTAATTAACCTGATTAATGTAATTAAACAATACAATTTGCTGCTGATCTTTTTGAGGAGAATATTTCAATTTGAATAGTCTGGAAGGAAAACTAACTTGAATTACTAATTTAAAAAACACTTTTCTGTATTACAGTAAGCTTTCAAAGTCTGCACTAAGTTGGGCAAGAACTTCATAGCTGCTGTTGTCCTCTGTTTACTTTCCAAACTCTCGTCAGCTACAAATCTGAAATGAGAATCAGAGTCCCTGGGGGGAAAAAAAAACAAACACCCTCTTTTCTAGAGTGAATATATTCCAGATGAATGTGTATTGTGTAAGGGAGTAAATAATGCTAAATTGCTGTACTCTAGACAGAACAGCTGGCAATTTGTGCAATACATTGAAACTATTGGAGGAAATCCTAGAGGCTATATCATGAATACTTAACTGTGCCATTTTTGTTTTTAACAGCGAACATCAAGTACTTCTGAAGGAGATCCAGGAGACTCAGGACTCCAAAATTCGTGAAGATCTACAACAGAGGCTGAATAACCTTGTAAAACAAATGAACAGTAAAGGAGAACAAATATCCAAGTTGAAAAAACATGAGAAAAGCGTAAGAAAAAAATGTGAACTGTCCAGCTAGCAACACTCTTGTTAAATGGCTCTACCTTTTGTTGTCAGTAACTAGAATGCCACTGGAATGCTTAAGCTAGGTTGTTTCAGTATAGGTGATTAACATTAGGTTGCTAACTCAGTGTTCTTGTACCTGCAATTCCTCCTTTAAATCATAAAATGGTGCTTAGAATTGGCAGGTAGATATGTAGACCAGTGAGAAAACTTCCTCTCCTGTGGCAGTTCTTCAGTATAGAGCAGAGTTGCTCAGTCTGTCACTTTCACTCCCTGTATTAAGATGGGCTGTTGAGATTTCATTCCTTTGTGCCCTTTCTATCTGGAGAATGAGAAAATAGAAGCTATATTTCCTGTACAGACAGGCTTGAATGTCTTGTATTTTACTGAAAGATTGAAGTTTGTTATTAACCAAATAGTTTACTGACTGCAACTTCTCTCAAAAATCATAGCCAGACAAGCCTTTTAGGTTTTTTTTTTAATCCTTAATCTATACACATTCTGTCAGTATTTTTTGTAGACATAAAAAACAAGTACGTGTCCATAGAAAATCACACTTCTGTAGATGAGCTGCTCAGCCTGCTTGTAGCAATTTGCTTTGGAACAAAATAAAAAATGCAACCTATAATTCTGTCAGATATTTTTCTGTTCTTTCATCTTATTTTGTAGGATAAATAGGCTCCCGTAAGAGCTTTACTTATGCAGGAAACAAAACAGAACTCAGTGTGAGACCTTGTGGAAGGGGGAAGTGATATTTAATTTAAATGCAACCAACTTCATTTATATTCATTCTTTGATAGATTTTACTCAGTTAAACTTTTAATTATCCCATATACTTACAAAAACACTTATTTCAAAGTCTCGTTGGGGTTGCATTTGAGAAAAGTGGACTGCTGAGTCATTGCTGACTCTCTTGGCAATGTCTACTGATGTATGGGTTAATATCTAACATTCTTGAGAAGCCAGCAGTTGGTGTTACTCTTTGCCTTAGAATCTTGGTAACATGATCCTCAGAAAATGGGCAACAGCACCTTTACTTTTTCATTTTGCATATCTTTATGGCTACAATCTGCCTCATTTGGGAATGATGGGAAGAAGAGTGGCACATTTGTTGTGGTGCAACCCTGTTGTCCTTCTTGAGTGTTTGAGAGTGTAGATCTTTTGCTGGCAAGTTGTCTGTGCTGTGGCACAGCCTTATCAGAGCACATGCCTTACAGTCATTATGTAAATAGCATATTCTTCATGCTTGTCTGTTTGATTACCGTCCATCATACCTTGGTTATCAATACAGGCCACTCCTGTAACATCTGGTATCTGTTGTTTTTTTGGCCTTTTTTTTTTTGTTGTTGTTGTTTTCATGGACAGACCTATTTATTTGAATTTCACGCAGATCAATGTTAATATTTCTGGTACATATTTGTGCATTTAGAACCTGTCATGTTAAAAATACTGTAGTCATCTCTGTGTTTCCCACTTAATAATATACTTTAGAATGCAATTAAAATTAATTTTTTCAGAAATGGATAAATAACCCAAATTGGTGTATGGAATGTTTCCAGCTTAATTTTATCTTAAGAAGAGATATTTTCATGCCAAATGCAAGTCAAGGCTTTATATTTGACATCTAAAAAATATTCTATAGCAATCAACCATACTTATTTAGTTTCTTGACTTTGTTGTGAGGCTTCAAAGTAAGCTGTCAGATATGGTGATTCATAATAAGCTGTACAGGTTTTATAGCTTCTTTGCTGTTGTTACATTGGTACAATCTGAAATGGGAGAAGACCATTGTAAATATAAATTGGTTACGGATGATGTTCAGGCTCTTTTAAGCAAGCATTTTTACTTAACGGAGTAACAGGGTTCAGCAGTCTTTTGAGTGTGGATGAGGTCAGTTTTCTATAATGTTTTCTGTAATACTTTTAGTTTCACTAAGACAACTATATGCAAGATTAGTAGGTTCTAATGATTTTTAAAAGTCCTTTGGATGTCTTCAGTTTGGAATTTGGTAGAAATTTGGTAAGCAGTAAGCAGTAGCAAAGTGAGTAATGTTCTAATTAGAAATCTTTCTTTGTAGGTGCAGAAATTAAAGCGAAAGACTCAGAAATTGAAGAAAGAGGCAGCTCATGTCAAACCAAAATGTGATAACCAAAAGGAGGCAAAGGAGATTGCAGGCACTGTAAGGGAAAGTATGTCCAAATCTCATGCTGGGCAGAAAAGCAGAAGCTCCCTTCAGCTGCTAAAAAGTGTACAGAAGCTTCAGTCAACACTGAAAAAAGACGACATTGTGTGGGAACAATAATTCTAAAAATAAAGTTTTTGAAGCTGTCTGACAGCTAGTAAATACTGAATTTCACAGAGTAGCTTTTAAAAATAAAATAAATATAGCATTTCTCATTCTAAACTGTCTAATAACTGGTAGGTCAGTTTGTTCACCTCTATTAACTTTCATGTAGCATAGCTATAATTCCAGTACATTGAATTGTAATGAAATGTTTCAACAGATTAATTAAATGCTTATTAATTAACTTGTCAAATAAGCCCATACCCTTCTAGGCTTAAAATAATATGCAATCTTTGGTGTCCTGCTCTTCACCATCTCCATCAGGAAGGTTCTTTGAAGATTCTGTGACATAAAACATCCTTGTCTCTAAATTGGAAAGACGTGGATTTGACAGATGGATCACCCAGCTGATAGGGAATTGGCTGAATGATCATACTCAGAGTCGTAATCAACCGTTTTATGTCCAGATGTAGACCAGTGGCATTCCTCGAGGATCAGTTAATGGGACAGGTGCTTTTTAACATCGTTATTGGTGATGTGGTCAGTGGGATTGGGTGCACCCACAGAAAGTTTGCTGACAGTTCCAGGCTGTGTAGTGCAGACAACGTGCTGGAGGAAAGGGAAGCCATCCATAGGGACTTTGACAGACTTGAAAGGAAAAGGAGTTGGGAGCATTCCTTCACAAGAAGCTCAACATGACCTGATAATGTACTCTTGCAGCACTGAAAGCTGATCTTAACCATGGCAGCATCAAAAGAAACACGGCCAAGAAGTGGAGGGAGGTAATTGTCTCCCCATGCTCTGTTGCTGTGAGGTCCTACCTAGACTACTGTGTTCAGCTCTGGGGTCCCCAACATAATAACGAGGATGTGGAACTGTTGAAGCACACCCAGAGCAGTGCCACAAGAGTGATCAGAGGGCTGGAGCAGCTCTCCTATAAAGACAGGCTGAGAGAATTGAGGTTTTTCAGCCTGGAGAAGAGAAGGCTCTAGAGAGATCTCAGTGCAACCTTTCTGTACCAGAAGAGAGTCTACCAAAAGAAAGCTGGAGAGGGACAAAGACTCTTTATCGAGGAATATAGCAATAGGACAATGGGTAAGGGCTTTCACCTAAAAGAAGTTAGAGTTAAATTAGATATAAGGAGGAAATTATTTACACAAAGGGTGATGATGCATTGGAACAGGCTACCCAGAGAAGGGCCGTAAGGAGGATCCGGGGAACTATAGGCCTGTTAGCCTGACCTCGGTACCAGGAAAATTAATGGAACAAATCATCTTGGATGAGATCACACAGCATGTGTGTGGTGTCCAGGGGATCAGCCCAGCCAGCACGGGTTTGTGAAAGGCAGGTCGTGCTTGACCAACCTCATCTCCTTCTATGACTGGGTGACCGGTCTGGTAGATGAGGGAAGGGCTGTTGATGTATTCTACCTAGACTTCAGCAAAGCCTTTGACACGGTCCCTCACAGGCTTCTTCTGGGGAAACTGGCTGCCCATGGTATGAACAGGTAAACACTTCTTTGGGTAAGAAACTGGCTAGAGGGCGGTGCCCAGCAGGTAGTGGTGAATGGAGTTAAGTCCAGCTGGCGACCTGTTTCAAGTGGTGTCCCCCAGGGGTCAGTACTTGGGCCCATCTTGTTTAATATCTTTATTGATGACCTAGATGAGGGGATTGATTGCACCTTCAGTAAGTTTGCAGATGACACCAAGCTGGGAGATGGTGTTGATCTGCCTGAGGGTAGGGAGGCCCTTCAGAGGGATTTAGACAGGCTGGACTGCTGGGCTGAGGTGAATGGGATGAGGTTTAACAAAGCCAAGTGTCGGGTCCTGCACTTTGGGCACAACAACCCCATGCAGCGCTACAGGCTTGTGGATGAGCGTGAAGAAGAGAGGGACCTGGGGGTGTTGGTTGATGCTCAGCTGAACGTGAGCCGACAGTGTGCCCAGGTGGCCAAGAGGGCCAACGGCATCCTGGCCTGCATTAGAAATAGTGCAGCCAGCAGGAGCAGGGAGGTGATCATCGTCCTGTACTCAGCACTGGTGAGGCCGCACCTCGAGTACTGTGTTTTGGACCCCTCACTACAGGAAAGACATTGAGGCCCTGGAACATGTCTAGAGAAGGGCAACGAAACTGGTGAGGGGTCTGGAGCACAAACCTTATGAGAAGCGGCTGAGGGAGCTGGGATTGTTCAGTCTGCAGAAGAGGAGGCTCAGGGGAGACTTCATTGCACTCTACAACCTCCTGAAGGGAGGATGTGGTGAAGAGGGGTTTGGCCTCTTCTCCCAGGCAGTGAGCAGGACACAGGGAAATGGCCGCAAGTTGTATCAGAGGAGGTTTAGATTAGACATAAGGAAGAACTTTTTCTCTCAGAGAGTGGTCAGGCACTGGAATGGCTGCTCAGGGAGGTGGTGGAGTCGCCGTCCCTGGCAGTGTTCAAGAGGCGTCTGGATGAGGAGCTGTGTGATATGGTTTAGTGCTTGTGGTGGCAATGGTGAGGAGGAGACGGTTGGGCTAGATGATCTTATAGGTCGTTTCCAACCTTGTGATTCTACTCTATGATTCTGTAGATGCCTTATCCCAGGGAGTGCTCAAGACCAGGCTGGGTGGGATCTGGGCAACCTGGTCTAGTAGAAGGTGCCCATGGCTCTGGCAGGTGGGTTGACTGAATGATCTTTAAGGTCCCTTCCAACTTGAACAATTATGTAATTCTATGATTCTATGACGCGCTAGTAGTTCTGTTGAAAGAAAAACAGTGTTTTCCCTTTTCACTAAATAACTGAAGATTCAGTCGCTGTAACTGAGGCAGAAAAAGAGGAATTGTTTCTTATTTATATACTTCTTCTTTTTTATGTTACTGTTACTCATAAGATTTATCAACAATGCTAGCATTAGGGAATTCTAGGGGTTGGAAGGGAAGCACAATCAAAGAGTTATGCAGCTTTGCATGTATAGCCCTCCAGATCAAAAAGCTGACTGTTTCACAATAGCTTCCCATAGAGCATCCTGATGTTTTGATATGTTTGAAGTGGCTCACTAAAAAACTCTGAAGAAGAATAAGCAGACTTAAATAGCTTTCCTTGTGTCTATGAGTAGAAGTTTGCACAGAAATGGACATAAAGCTAATGTGACCCTGGTGGATACTGCATCAATGGGACCAGGATTGGTGATAGTGAATGTGGACATGGAGAAGGGAACAGGAGGACATAAGGAGTATGGGTGGGGAATGAGATGGCAAGAGAGAAATGAGAGAGAAGGTTCGTTTGCTTGCCTTTCCGAGAAGTTATAGGTCTGTAACATTTCTTTTAGCCTCCAGGAAAAGGCAATATTGAAGGGGGTAAGGGGAGAAAAAAGCCTTTAAATTTTTTAATAAATGTTCTGCTACGGATCTCAAGTACAAAGAGAATGCAGTAGGCTTTTCAAGCCCTTCTACAGGTAACAACAAAAACTGGAGATGTGGTCTGTTGTTCAGGGCTTTGAATGAAGGCTAGCAATGATGTATTGTCCTCATGGGAAGTTAAGTCTTCAGATCAGAGTAAGTTTTGCTATGGAACCTGACCAGAAAATGGATTGTGACAATCTTTGACCGCAGTGTCTGCAAGCTTTATGGGGCAGGTTTGGGTATGCTGGTGAGGAGTTTATAGACTCTAACCATTTTTATCAGGACCATGGAAGGTCATGCTATTCAGCTGGTATGTGGGGATGATTTTCCTCCATTTTACACATTTTTTCTTATGCACTATCTCTGCCTTAGAAAAGAACATTTTGTGCTTAAAAGAACTTAAACACATTTTAAAAAGGGTGCTTTCCTGTTATGGATAGCACTGCTGAGGTAGGCATCTGCATTTCTAGGTGCTGGAACTGCTGATTATGGAGATGAGAAAAATGAGTATCTCTGCTATTAACATTTTCAGACTATGTGTATTCTGCTGCCACAAGATAAGCCTGTGCCATTCCCAGAGGTAGTTAAATAACCTCTGAAACTGTTCATGCGAGAGAGCAAGCAAGAAGGGCCATGCCATGTTTTAAGGAACCCAAAGCATTATATTTCATCTCGAGGTCCAGCCTGAAATAAAAATCATCAGACATTTGAAAGAGAGAGAAAAATTGCCATTATTTTGCCTCAGTTGCATAAAAATGGGGAGGAGTGAGAGCAAGAAGCTCTGCGGGCTTGCATCTGAGACCATTGCAGCTCCAGTGGCTTGGCGTTGCCATGGGGAGAGCTGGGCCTGCCTGGGCAGGGAGCCCATCAGCCGTCAATAAGCTGTGACCTGGTGTTTGTGTTGACTATAGAAACCCGGGGAGAAGGAGCCATTTTCTGCTGGATCTGGAGGAGGCCCGAGCTTTTGCTGTGGAGGACAACAGCTGTGGGACAGTCAGCGAGGTATGGGATGGGGCAGTACTTGATGAAAGTACAGTGATGAAAGCATTGAATAGCTTCAAATGCACCTGGCTGCCAAGAGAGCCCAGCATCTCTTCTCTGTTCCATTTTCTGGGGAACGAGGGACTGGGGGGAAGGGGAAAACTGCTCAGCAGGGAAGGGCAGGAGGTCAACGCATGCCTTTATTTGTTGGCACGTTCAGTCTGAAGCAGTTGTCAACCACATGAGGTAAGTCTTCAAAGTAATCCACAGCAATAAGTGGTGATGTAGAAACCACGATGATGAAGGGAACCTTGTGCATAAGTGCTGGCACAGCCCAGGTCCCAGGAGGATCAGGTCAGTGGGATCTGAACGCTTCCCTTCTTACACTCTAAAGAAGTGCTGGCTTTGGACTCCATAAACATATATTTGGAGATAGTGCAGTGGTTAGAGCAGTCTTTTTATAAGAACAGTATGTTTTGGCTTCGTGAGTGCTTGCTGTACTCTTTTACAGATCCTCGTTTTTGATTTATATCTTGAGCGTTCTTGTTTGTCTTCTCAGATGAAGGCTATATATTCCTTTTCATTTTATAAATGTTTTGAATCTAGCTATAAAGGGCAACACATGAAAACACACAGTAATGCCCCCAGAAAGATGAATTGGTTTATTAACTCAAAATCTTGGCTCTTTTTTGCTGAGTTGCACAAAACTTGTCACAGAGAGAATTATCACTGACAACAGGTTTTGTTGGTATTTTAATCTAGGGCCGTATTTTGTGGCTAAACAGTACAGAAATTAGACAAACTATGAAGGTCAAGCAGTATAATTAAAAATACAGAGCAGCAAATTGTATCCAGTAATAATTCACTTTCCTGCTGCTAATGAAATATGCTAG